AACCCTAAACCCTAACCCCTAATGCTGGGCCTTCAGCCTTTGGAGCATTCAAGCTGTCCCCGTAAAACTGCGTCAGCTCTCGAAGCTCGTCATCTGAACAGAAGCATCCCTGCCAACAGCCAGGTGCACCAGCGGCAAAGGTGGACAGACTACTGCACTAACAATGGCAAAAGGGCTGCTGGGCTGCTGTATATCCAGAGAATGTGGCTGCAGACTGTGGAAGTTTCGGGGCCCTAGCCCACCAAGGCATCTCATCTGATCACCATGGCTGCGCAGCTCGCTTTGGGGACTCAGGATATCGGGCTTACCATCCGTTGTGCGATCCGTAGAGCATATTTCCGGAAGGGGTACATGGGGAGCAACATCATTCTGACAAGCTGCTCCCTCCCCATCTGACCCCGGTGTTCTTGATAACAGTCAATAGCAATAATGCTCAGTTGTGGAAAGAGAGAACCACCCAACCCGCAGGGCGAGGGGAAAGATCTGAATGACTTCAGCACGGAATGAAGGAAGACAACAACCCACACCACAGGGGGAGGGAGGAGCTCTGAATGTTTTCAACAAGGAACGATGCCGACAGCTTTGGGAGAAAGAGCACCCACCACACCACAGTGAGGGAGAGGCAAAGATCTGAGAGAGCTTTGCGTAGATTCTCCAGAAACTGATGTTAGGGATAGGGGCTTCCCTTCGATGAATTGCTGCAACTTGGACCGCGACTCACAAACAACCTGACAGTAAAGACGCGTAAGTCGACCTCCTTGGCCATGCCTTCACCAAGTTCTTTGTTACTACTAACGCAACTAATTTTATGACTACTACTCCTACTAGTATTACCATTACTATTATACTGCTACTATAAGTATTATGACTCCTACAGGAAGGATGGTGAGGAGATCAACGACTTCGAGGTCCGATTCCATGCTTTGATGCGAAAAGTCGGAGAAAAAAAACTCAAGGCTGTGGGCGCACAAGGACAACTTCATTCTCGGCTGCGCGGTAGGTTCGTGATCAATATGTTCATGAGATTGGAGGCATCAGACACGGCAAATGTTCGAGATGCGGTGAGGAAATGGAAGCAGCTGAAAACCTAGATGAGACCGACACCAAAGTGGAGGGAGGAAGTCGGAATGTTTCAGCAAACAGTCCTGATGGCTTGAGAGAAAGACCACCCACCACGCCACAAGTGGGGTGGGGGGAGGGATCTAAAATAATTGGCAGTCATAAGAGAAAGAAAGCCCTGTAGGAGGAAGATCTGCAGATCTGCCTAACTTCAGCAACATGCAGGTTTTCATGCTGGACATGACAGTCAGTTTCTAATACTAGAATGCTGGTAAGAGTGGGAGCATATGCTGGCACCATACCATTGCTGCGCTGCACCAGATGTTCCTGTACGCCCTGTAGACGGACCTATGGGTGCCCCAAGTTTAGAATCCCAAAGGTCACCCTAAACCCTAAACCCTAAACCCTGAACCCTAAAACCCTTACCTTACCCTTAACGTCATGCTTCATGCACGGAAAGAGGCCTTGTCTGACTCATCATTGACAAGCTTCGCGAAGGAGGCGAGGCTCAGGCCCTGTTCCTCTCATCAACATTTGGTTTGGAGTTTAGGGTTTAGGGTTTAGGATTTAGGGTTTAGGGTTTAGGGTTTAGGGGTTTAGGGTTTAGGGGTTTAGGGTTTAGGGGTTAGGGTTGTAGTGTTTTTTTTGGTTGAACCTAATAAGATAATATTCCTTGTATAAAAAACTATAACCCAAAAGGAGGATAGAATCTTACTCTATATGGGTACCATAGTGTCCCCAAATAAAATACTACTCATATGTGTTTGGAGTTTAGGGTTTAGGGTCAAAGCGTGGTATGCAACGTCATCGATACATGTATATGCGTGTATATATATATACACACAGAAAGAGAGAGATAGGGTTTCTTGCTGGGTCCATTTAGATACTGGCGGGTGCTAATCACCGGTATTTGAGCACAGTAGCTATTTTGTTTTGTACCATGGCCAGTAGTGCACGAGCTGACAGATCGACTGCCATGATGACCATTGTCCATTATTGCTGGAGCTGCTATGAGCCCGTCAGCACTGTTGTTGCTACAAATTGCTGTGAATGTTTGCTAGTCTCTTGAGCTTCTATCATCAAAATTATGCACCCTTTTGAGCGTCGTTTCTCGAGGCACAGACGCCTGTAGTACCTTATAAAGAATAGGACCTGCCGGATACCAAGCACCGACACGCCTTTAAGTAGTGACTTGCATATGTTCAGAACAGTTCCTGACCTTTCCCTAAATTAATGTGGAACTTCATACAAGTGCCCGGTAACCGGACGGTGGTCCACAAGGGTTGCCTTCCTAGGTGCCTTGTTTGTTCAGGGAAGGTAACCCCTTGACCCTTTGCCTTAAGCTCCTGTATCCCTATAACCCACAGTTTCCATGTCATCTACCATTTTATGTTCCATTGTGTTTCTCCAACCGTACACTCCGGACACCAAACCCTAAACCCTAAAGTCTAAACCCTGTGCCTCTGCAACATCGACCTCTGCACAGAGCGAAGCGTACTCCGCAGCCCACTCTTCGTCCGTGCCATCAAACCCTCACCGGGTAAGACGTGGCTCAATTTTACAAATTGCCCGGGAGAAGGGTTTAGGGTTTAAGATTTGGGGCAATGCAGGCTTGCATCCATCCCTTTATCTTCTGTCTTTTTTGTGTCTTTTGATAGCGCCTCTTTTCCTCCCATCCAGCAGTCTATGTGCTTGGGCTTAGGGTTCAGGGTTAAAAAATTGAATATGGTGATCCAAGCTCATTCCCACCTGGAACTACAGACATGGTTGGGCATGTGCTGACAATCCAGCGGCAGGCCTTACCACGCGGTTTAGGGTTTACAGTTTAGGGCATGTTGTGTTTACGGGTGCGGTATTCGGTGAGAAGCTAGACATGGCCTGTTGTCAACACACTTCATTGGAAGCCTACAAGCCTTGTGAGGAAAACTCTTTCAAGCATAGTCCCCTTAAGTAGATAGAATATGGGGTATCTAGGGGATCTTACTATAATGCACCCAAAACCATATTCTATCTACTTAAGGGGACTATATATGCTATCCTTACCCTTAGAGTGCCCCAAGGAGTCTAGGCTATAGGGTCTTGGACTGCCACAAGAAATGTGGATTC